TCATTTTTGTTTTTTTTTTCTTTCTTTCTTTCTTTCTTTTTAATAGTGATTGCACGCCGAGATCGGGCTGATATAGTGAGAATATTAGAAAAAGAACACGATATACAAACGACTAAAGCGCTAAACTACGAGTACTACCGGTTACGCTAACACCGCGTCTTGTAGTACCAGCGCCATTTATCTAGTATTTTTTTTTTCTTTCCCTACTAGTTTCGAAAAGTTTCTCTAGGCTGACCCACTACCGAGATGCCGGCCGCGCGATCATCTCCGACCGGTCGTTAGCGAAAAGTGAGATCTGCGACTCTCAACAAGGACACCATCGCCCGACAGCGAACAGAATCGATGGTTCGCTTTTCCTTAAACGTCGAAATAGGAACATGAAAGTAATTTCGATTCGTATATATGGAACAAGACGTAATTGTACTTTAAAGAATACATCACCTTTTGATGGACGAATAACGCTTCTTCCACGTGACCTACGACCTCGCTCTTTATCCTTTATCTTTATTTTTTATTTTTCATTATATAAAAATTTATCTCAATGTTCGATTATATTTTCAATTAATTTATTATTATCACATAAATTTATATTACTATTTAGATTTTTATTCTGTCATAAAATAATTTTTACAAAGAGATCATATGAATATAGGAATGTCGAAATGAAATGATTTTGAACAAAAAATCTTAATTATTAATAAGAAGAAAAAAGGCCGTAGTTCAAACGTAGATAGATAGCCAATCGCAAGCTTCGCAAAGAAATCTCAGGCAGTCGCGATACGAGGAGGATTTCGCAAATTCGGCCGGTCGGAGCCGCGTTTGGCTTCTCAATCTTGCCATTCTCGCGCTGAAATCTTCCGATTTTTCTTCGTCGTATATCTCTTATAATAGAATTTTAGAACCGACGTCGAAACGACTATCTTCGTTTCGATAGAGCACACCCGTTTGAACACAAATCGGTCGTTTCCGCATAGTTTTCTGTTTTTTTTTTCTTTTTTTTTTTCTTTTTTCTTTTTTTTGTTAATATCTTATCCTTTGCGTCTCCTTCTTTGTCGAGTCGATCTGCGTATACATAAATTATCGAACTCCCTCGAGAGTCGACTATTTCCTCCCTCTCGCACTCTCTCTCTCTCTCTCTCTCTCTCTCTTTCTCTCTCTCTCTCTCTCTCTCTCTCTCTCTCACTCTCACTCTCTCAATTTTTTTTTATATTTTTCTTGATTATTTTTTGTTTTTTTTTTATTTTTCGTTACTTTAGAGTCATTATATGACTAGAACCTACGAATTACGAGCGTATTAAAGCCAATCAGGAAGGTACCAAGTTTTTGATCGATCGAGGAGACAATCTTCTTTCTTCTTCTTCTTCTTCTTCTTCTTCTTCTTCCTCCTCTTCTATGTTTGGTTCAGGTATGCTCAAAACCTTGATTTGTCTTTCTTGTTCCTTCGAATATAGTCGAAAAATATGTTAAAGAATGAAAGGTTCAAGGATCCGATAAAAGATTACTTTCTTGAAGCTTCTCAATTATTGATTTAGAATAAATGGAAATTTAGCTTCGTCGAATTTAGATAAATTTAAATATCTAATATCACATCGACGTTAGATTCGAAGGAGATATAAAGAACAAGAAGGTTTTCGAATCGTGGGTCGAATCGACGTCGGTTTCATTTGCGACGTATGTGCGTGATGTATGCTGTATAAATGTCGTGTGTGTTAAAGTGTGTCATTAAACGCGCGTCCCTATATAATGAACGACAGGCCAGCTCTTCGTTGATCACGAAAATCCCAACATTCGAGAATGCGTGAATTGAAAATAGAATTTAAAAAACGGTAACCTAGCGCGTAACAGTTCGTTTTCTTCAGATTTTCATTTTAACGTATGTAAAATGTGTGTTAGTGTGCGTGTGTGCCTGGTGTACGTATTATCAGTGTGGGTGTAATCGAGTGTAATCGCGAGTGTATCGGTGTGAGCGTGTTATGTGTACCTAATTGCACTTATTCGACAAAACGGAACGTAAAATTGAACGCAAGATGGCGGTCGGACGGCCCTGGAACGTTTATCGGAGGTAATCATCGTAGCATTCCTTTCGTTTCTTTTTTTCTTTCTCTTTTAATACACTTTTTATATTCTCATGTCGCGTTCACCGTTTCGCCGTCGGTCGAGCTCGTTCGAACTAAACGTTTTCGCGTTTTATCTTGTAGTAAAAACGTAACCTCGAAACTTAGGCACAATTTGGAACTGTTTAGACCATTTACGTACGAATCACCATCGGCAAGAAACCGTATGTCTTCGTTCGAAAGAGACGAAAAAAAAAAGAAAAAAAAGAAAAATTTCTGCGACTTTTCGATTTTAGAAAAACACATTTTCATCCTTATGAAATTGTCCGATTTATTATCCGGTTATTATTATTAAATAATAGACAAAAAAAAAAAGACTCTTTTAAGATGACTTTCGTTTAAAGGGGAGAAAGTTTCTTGTTTTTTTCTCTTTCTCTTTTTCTTTGTTATAATTCTTTTCACGAAAAAACTAGAGCTAAATATTTAATTATTAATTCAATCTGAATACTAATCATGATATTATTGAAATATATATATATATATATATATATATATATATATATATATATATATATATATATAAATTTTTAATCTCTTCATGTTCGAAGACACACGGAAATCTTTCTTTCGAACCATATACCAAACGTGCGACGATACTGTGAGGTAGCTAACATCGAGTCGTTTCAGGGCCAATCGGACCAAATCTTCCGGTTTATATGAAATAAAAATTAGTGTCCTCTCCTTCGTTGATCGTACGAACGATAGCTTGCGAAATAGAGAATTTATTTTAATTCATTTATATATAGATATACATACATATATATATATATATATATTTTTTTTTTAAATATATATTATAATATATATTTTTTGTAATCCCTGAATATAATAAGAATAAGAGAAAAGAAGAGAAGAAACACTTTGGTTTTGATACAATCGAGTCGATGATCGAAGGAGAAGAACGAAGAGCCCGCCGTACATTTTTCTTTTCTTTCTTTGAACGCGCAGAATGATCGAACGAAAAGAAAAGGAAAATAGAAAAGGGGCAAAAGATAACAGGAATCTTTTAGTCCGACTTTTTTCCGAGCAGTGCCCGCCATCTTGGTCCCGTCTGACCACCGGTGTGGACCAACGTAATTTCGCGTTATATCGCGGCTTCCATTCCCCTAAACTTCCCTTCTCCTTTTTTTCATTCTCTCTCTCTCTCTCTCTCTCTCTCTCTCTATCTATCTATCTCTCTCTTTCTCTCTCTCCCTCTCTTTCTTTCCTTATCTCGCTCTCGCTCTCTCTCTCTCTCTCTCTCTCTCTCACCCTTGCTCTCTTCTCTTTCTTGCCTTTTAGTCCCTCGCTTATCATTTTATTTCCGCACACCGTAATTATAATAGTTTTTTTTCTTGTTATATCCTTACACATATACACTAGCTGGTTACAATAATTTGTGAAAAATATACATCAAAATTTTGTTACTTTTTACATCACAGATATTTTAATATAATATATCCTCTTTTAATTCTTAAAGATTTCTTCTTTTCCTCCCCGTTTTCGACCAATCCGTCTCTCGTCGGATCGTAATAGCGCATCGCCCGCGATGGTGGAAGAGACGACCGGAAGTTCGACAAAATTTCACTTTGAGACAATTTTTCTATTCGCACCGCATATTATACTCTAGTTCTAGTTTCTCTTTTCTTTTTTCTTTCTTTCTTTCTTTCTTTTTTTTTTTCTTTTTCTTTTTCTTTTATCATTTTCAATTCAACAGCAGGTCTCCTCCGGTGTTATAGTAGATTGGATATACATATGCAACGTTAACGAATGATTTACTCGAATTAGTTTTTTGAATTCTTCTCTTTCGGCCATCTCCTCCGAAAAAAGTGCAAGTCGACGATCGTGCAACGGATGGTGGAAAAAAAAGGATCAAATATATCTAACGTTTCGATTATACTTTTACTTTCATATTCTTCAAATGGTCAACCTAAAGAGAACTCGAACGATTGAGAAGATTTACGATTTTGAAAAAAGGAAAAAAAAAAAAAAAACCAAGAAAAAAAAAAAAAAGAAAATACGTAACAATGCAACAAAAAAGATTATAATATAGTAAAATTGTTCGTTGCACGAACGATTTTTTTATCGAATGCATCGGCTGTTAATGAAGAAATTGAAATGATTATTTTGTATAAGTCTCGCGGGACGAAGGTCACGGGATCCAACTCTCGATATAGATTGCACAGAACGTCGCGACCAACTTCGTAACCGTAATTGAATTAACGACAATCATTAGCGTACGCACGTTTACAATCATCCTCACGATAAATATTAGTTCTGCGTGAATTTTTTTTTTTTTGTCCTTTTCTTTCACATCTAACGATAAATCTTTTATAAAGGGTCTGAGTTGCTTTTCCTTCTGGGCACGATAGCGAGACGGTGGTGATTGATGACGGTGATGGTAGCAATGTACTCGCGGCGATGCCGGAGGCAGCTTGGACGAGGGAACGAGGAGGGTGCAGTGAGGAGGGAAGATGAGGGGAAAATGGATGACGATGAAGGCCTCGAAAGATGAGGGGTGAAACGAGCTTGCTTGTGTTCTAGCGAACGTTTACGAAAGATTTTCAGGTATCGAAATGGATGACGATGATGGTACATCGAACAAATTTTCATTTTTTTTTTTTCTTATTTTCTTATGACGAAACTAGATACGGAAGGAGGTATCAGGTATAATAGGAAGAGAATAAATAAGGAATGTCGACTGAAAAAAAGGACGTGCATCGCTTTTGGATTACGGACAGTGATAGCGAAGGAAGGTAATATTCATTTTTGAAATTTTACACACGATCGTGATTAGTGCTTGCTTCGCTTTTTTCATTTACCTTTTTGTTTTCGTTTAACCCTAAGAAGACCTTAACGTTTACACTCAATAACTTGACTTTTTACGCGCGTATTTTTTTTTTTTTGTTTTTTTTTTCTTTAGAGAGTTACATCATTATTCTCACGCCTTATTCTTTTATACTTGTTTTTTTCCCTTTAAATAGGACAAATTTTTTTTAAGTTTAGTTCCAAAAAACACCGAGAGAGTAGTCTTGTTTACATTGTTTACTTTTTTTCGCATAGGGTATAACTTTTTTTTTCGTTAATAAGGAATTTTTGCATTTTTAAAACACCAAACATACATGCCTTATACTTTATATACAGCCTAAAGTCTTTCAGTCGTTACGCTTGCTTTTTTTTTCTTTTGGTTATTTTATTCCTTCTTAAATTCTTTCTTAAAATAGTGTCATGAGATGAGTGCGTGGATCGTTCTTCCCTTCCTTCCTAAATTTCTTAATTCTTTTCTCTTTCACATTCTTCCTCTGTATTTCATTTTATTTTCTCCCTCTTACCTCTTATCCGATTCCTCTATCATCGTTACTCGTTACTCGCGAGGAAAAGCGGATTAGCGATATCTACGTCCCTGTCATCACTTTCTTGCACTCCTCGTTTTAAGTTTATAAGCCCTCCCCAACTTTGATTTCACCTAACACCGTCTAACTAATATCACCCATTGGTCCAACCGATCATTTATCATACGAAAGAAACGACGAACGTCGTTTTTTGTTTTTTCTTTGTTTCTTTGTTTTTTCTTTTTTTTTTGTTTTGTTTGTTTTTTTTTTCTTTTTTGTCCCTTTCCAATTCGAATTTCGAACTGCGATACTAATATGGAATTATCAATGAACAATCTCTCAAAGAGATCGATCTTTTTACGAAAACTTCCTGGCCAAAGAGAGAACGTTTTTAAAGAAACAAGCAAACCTTTCCGAAACGTAGATTCGCTCCTACGCCTCGCATTCGACATCATCATCATCATCATCATCATCATCATCAACAACAATATCGTTATCATCGTCTGTCATCATTATTATCGTTACTCGTGGAACCCGGTGAAAAAACGAAACCCTAATTCGAGTGAGATCACTACAACGACGTTACTGTTGCTGCTGCTACGGCTGCGGCTGCGGCTGCGGCTGCGGCTGCGGCTGCTGCTGCTGCTGCTGCTGCTGCTGCTGTATCTCTTCCTCTACGTAGTAGAAAATTTGCATTCGTATCAAAAAGTGTTATCGGGCGTACTCGCGCTTAAGAAAAATGTTTCTGCACTTCGGTATTATATAGAAAGACCCGAGTCGAGATCACGCGTCTCCTCTATAATATTTTTTATGCCCCCGTTTTCTTTCTCTCTCTCTCTCTCTCTCTCTCTCTCTCTCTCTCTCTCTCTCTGTCTGTCTCTCTCTTTAAACTTTTTAACTTTATATTTTTTTTCATTTTCTTCTTCTTACTTGACTTGCCCGTTCGTTATCATTTGCAATTTTGTTTCCTACCACTTCGAAAATCTCTCTATAAATCCGTCCCTTTTTGTTAAATGAAAATTCAAGGAACGTACGATCGCGTCAGAAGGATTTCTTTTGGACTCGTAAAATCCTTTGAAAGGAGAATAATAATTCTTTTTTCTTTTATTTTTTTTCAACTTTCTCTTTATCTACTCTGTTATTTTTTCTTCTTAAAACGTGAGTCTATCTTTTCACTCTTAACGAAATATCTCGAGGATACCCTATTTTAATAGTTTGTAAAATATTTCCAGGATATCCGTATTCCGGTTGTCCTCAGGAAGCACCATTAATGTCACAGACTATAAAAGGGTATCCTTTGAAGAGTTGCTTGCTTTCTCTCTCTCTCTCTCTCTCTCTCTCTCTCTCTCTCTCTCTCACTCTCTCTCTCTCCCTCTTTAATACACACACGCTCATATGACTTTTTCAAATTTTGATTAGAATAAAAGAAAGGTTTAATAAGTCCGATATTAAAAAATTATCGAGAATTTTACGATGTCCATTTGAAATCTTTCTTCCCTGAATTCCCTGAAAAAATCTTTCCTATTTTCTCTTGATCGCGTTTCAAGCTAAACAACGTCTCGTAAAACGTGGGATGATGTTTGCGTCGAACACCGGCCTTAAGAGAACTGAGATTAGAGAAATATTGTCGCCTTGTGAAAAAATGTCACCTACGTGCGCCAAAAAAGCCTTGGCTCGTTTCTCATTTCGCATACGTCCGTAATGACCAAAAATATATGTATATATATATAATATATCATTCCTTATATAATTATGTTGCTCCTTACGAGTTAAGTAATGTTAATAGTAGGTAATAAGTTTCCATTAGGTAGTTTTACATCGATAGAGGAAATAATACGCTGTTGTCGTTTGTCTTATCTTTTTTTTTTCTTTTTTTTCTTTGTTTCACCTAAAACGCATTAGCTCTCCTTTTGCTTCGATCTTAAACGATTGATCGTCTTATAGATTAGTATACGGCAAACGGGTATGCTTATTCGCAACATACTCGAAAATGGAATCCTAAAAATTCAACGCGTATGCGGGGATCCGCCCGCGTTGCCTCTACGCTGCTTGTGTGTTCCTATAAATCGTATTTCTCGTCTGTGTTAGTGTGTTTTTTTTTTTGTTGTCAGTGTGTCATTCACCGATTTCGTTCGTATTCCTCTGTAAGCGTATGCGGTACGTGTACGAAAGGTATACTCGGTAATGCAGTAGTAGTAGTAGTAGATAAATTGTATCGTGTCTTTTATCAATATCTTATCGTTAGTCTGCTCTGAATTCAGAAAAAATCGGCATACTCGTAAGATTTCCCACCGAGAGCATGGACACCGTACACGGCGGATGATCTCTCGACCGAGTCTTTGGAAAATTGATAGCGAGTTTACTCAGTCGGTATCGAAGCGTTTTCTCTTACCGATCTTCACCGATCTCCGTCGTAGGAGGTTTCGAAGAATTGCTAGTACCTTCTTCCAGTACAGTTTTCGAACGAAGTCGAGGAATATCGGGATAGTCCTTGTATTACGTTCAAACAGTCTCCTAATCTTTCTTATTGACCGCCAGTAATCGAATCGTCGAATTCGAATGAAACTGTTCGCGCTCAAGGACGAATAATAGGATGTGAGACAGGCGTGATATAGAACTTTCTGAATGGAAAAAGGTTTTACAGGATTAACGTTCGAAATCGATTACCGTTATCATAATTCTATACCTTACTGATAACTGATACTGACTTTCGTCTACTGCTCTACGGAGTCTTCCATACCGATGACAGGTCCACGTTGTTCCGCCGGCTGTTGGCTGTTCGTTTGCTCGGCGGACCTGCTGCTGCCGGTGTTGTAGCCCCTCTGCAGTTGCACGACCAAGCCGCTTACCGCGGCATATTCCTTCTGTTGTTGCTGTTGCTGTTGTTGTTGCTGTTGTTGAGTCTTCTGGCTCGAATGATCTACTATAAGCTTACTATCACAGGCACTTTTTTTGTCAGTTGATACGGCATAAAGATTGTGTAAGTCCGGGTAATGATTCAATTGTTGCTGTTGCTGCGTACCGAGGGCACCTCGATCTTCCTGAGCGGCACCGTTATGAACTTCGCGTTCTCTACTGGCACGATCTAACCTCGAATCGCGAGTACTGTCCTCGTCCCTGCTTCCCGCACGGGAGATCGAAAGAGGCGTCGGCGGTGAGGTCAAACGATCGCTGCCATCGTCGGTACGAGCCCTCTCGGAGGGCGATGGGCTGAGATCAACGGTAGGTACCCTCTCCGGTCTCTCTGGTACTCTATCGAGTCTACCGGAAGTTCCCGATGGTCCCCTATAACTCTCATCCTCGCTACTATCTTGCGTTATACGCGGCAACGGTGTCCTCCTCGAATTCCTACATAGTTGATCGATCAAGGCCTTGCCGCTCATCGTTTCTGGGTGTTGCTGTTGTTGTTGCTGCTGCTGCTGCTGTTGTTGTTGCTGAGACGAAGTCGACGACGTAGACGACGACGACGACGTTTGTTGCTGTTGACTTCTCGTTTCCGTCAAGACTCGCTGATCCCTAGGTATACCGGTCTCAAGACTCGACCTTATCAGATTGTCCAAAAAACTTCCATTCGCTCCGCTACCATCGTAAAGACTCTCCGTTATTTCCCGTGGTGCCTTAGCGATCGTCGCGTTTCTTGCGGTCGACGTACCGGGCGTTTCCGTGCTCGAGACGGTCGCCCCGGCCTCTCTTTCTCGCTGCGAATGCTGTTGATGCGGCTGTTGTTGAACAATCGCTGCGCTTCTTTGCTGTTCTTGCAAGCCACGCATCCTTTGTGACGCAAAGTATTGCTCCGGAAGGATGGTCGGTACATTGGCGGCACCCGGCATGAACGGTGAGGGTAAGAACGGGGCAGGACTCCAAAAGTTAAAAGGTGGAAAAGGTAAGTGCGGCATGCCTTCGATGAAAGGTGGCATCTTCAGTCCATTAGGACCAGGAATACCACTGGCCGGGGTGAACGGTTTTTGAGTCTTCAGCGGTGCCTTTTTGTCAGCTGTACCGGGTCTCATTGCCGCAGCAGCCGCCGCCGCGGCCGCAGCTGCCGCTGCCGCCGTCGTCGTACTCGTTCCATCTTTCGTCTTGTCGTCCGGTTGCTTCTGGTCCCTACAAGTGATAGATAGAGAGGGAGAGGAAGGAATTTCGGCTAGAGGAACGCAAGCAAGACTCGTATGCAAGCGCGTATAAATTTATCTGTAAGATTACCTCTTGCGTGGCCTCATGAGGTGGCGTTCTTTAACTTTGTACTCGAGGGTGGAATGCGGCACGCCATAGTAGCTACCAGCTCGATGAACGCTCATCTCGCCTCGTTGAACCGCACGCACGGCTTCGACGAGACTATCTCTATCGTAATTTCTATACTTTCCGCGTTTTGGTCTAGTTCCTTTACCACCAGTACCGGGTTTCGGCTTGTTGGCCTCCTGACTTTGCGGCTTATTCTGTTGAGCTTGCTGAACAGGTGGCGCTGGTTGAGGTGGCGTATAACGGCCTCTTTTGAATGGACTCGGTTCGGGCATCATCGGTTGCTGCGGTTGTACCACTGTACTCGCTTGACAAGCCGCTAATCCACCTGTAACACCTGCCTGTTGACCTTCTTGGAACTTGACGCTGATACTCTTCGCGATGACGTCACGAAAATTAACAGGCACCGCCTTGCCGACCAGGGAGTTCGTCGGGCTGCTCGTCCCCGAGAACGCTGGGCTAGCACGTTCCAGAAGATTCGGACTCGAAGCCGTTGCCGCGAATCCCTGAGCGAAAGCAGCCGACGTCGGTTCGCCGTTCTTGTTACTCGAACAACTTGGCGTACTCGCTGGCTTGTAGGACGGAATCTTCAATATTGCTCTGCCTTGAGCACTATCGCTCGCCTCTTCCTCGATGCTCGGATTAAAATCATCGTTGGTCATCGGTGTCCGGAGATGTTGATGCGTTTGCTGTTGCGTCACCGATTGCACACTCGTTTGTGGGCCACTTTGTTGATGTCCTACCGCCGATACCGAATGATGATGATGCTGATGATGTTGAAGTTGTTGTTGTTGCTGATGCTGTGCCTGTCCTTGATCTCCGTTCACGCTCTTACTTAATCTCTTATCCTCGCTCATTAACCTCCTCATCACCTCCGGAATGCGGTAGTCTTGTGTTTCTATTCCTAATAACGAATTACCAACGAAATTATCCGAAATCGTATCTAAACTCTTTGGTAGACTTAGGCCAACATTTGTTTTACCTTTGAACGGTGCTGCCGCAGCCAACATTTTTTGAATGTACGGACCGATGTTTGCATGCTCCAAACCTGGCCATTCCTGACCCGCATCCTGTCCTCGCTGAAGCAGAGTCCTCAGGGAATCTCCACCGCTACCTTCAAGCGCGGAAAACCTTACTAGGTCTTCCAACGACAACAAAGGTTTCAGGAGTGCCTTCTCGACCTCTTTTTCCTCTTCTGCTCCCGATAGTTCCTTCTCGTCCACCTGTTGAAACGTTCGCTTTAATATTTTTCCTGGATCTTTCTTGTCAATGGAGAAAAAGAAATTTGTGCCTGGAGTAAAATCCCCTCTCGAGGAAAGTAGTATGCTTGCTCTCTCAGTCTCTCAGTCTCACAGTCTCTCTTTCTCTGTCTCTCTCTCTCTCTCTCTCTCTCTCTCTCTCACTCTCTCCTTCTTTCTTTCTCTCACCCCATTCCCATCTCCAACCCCATTTTCTTTCTCTTTTCTTTCTCTCTCTATCTTAGAAATCGTATTGGAATAATTTACGTTTTACATCTCATAGAGTTTTCTTTTAAAGATTCGAACGTACTTCGTCGAGAGGTATGCTTACGTGTTTCGTGTACATGTTTTGTTTTTGTATTTTGTATCAGTATCTGAATGTTTATGTAAGGATACCATTATTGTTTTATTAAATGCAAAGTAGCTAAGCGTCATGCAGGAACTATCAATGAGTAAACGTTCGTCTCAATGCACTAGCAAAGCGTATTCAAAGATAATCATTTTTCGATTCTACGAAAGATCAATTTTCTTTTTTTTTCTTTTTTGTAAGAAAATGAACGAGCCTCTATTGCAAACAATCATGCATCGATGAAAATTTATTAAAAGGATCAAATAATGAGAAGGATCGAGACTTAACTTCTCAAAATTATTATCTATCACATGCAGTTAAACATAATCGGGAATAATTGAATAGAATTGAATTTATATGATATCAGAATGATTCAGTAATTATGATATTAGCTGGATATAGCTGGAAAATAATAGATCGTTCTAAATACGACTGATTTGAAATAAAAGGATGTTGTCATAGAGATTAAAATGTTACCTTTTAACGTGCATTTTTATTTTGTTATCTGATACGTCAAAAAAAAAAAAAAATAAAGAAAAGAAGAAAAAAAACAAGAACGATCACAGAGCAGAAAGCTTCGTAATTTGTTCCATTTAGCCAGTTCCCTTCTCGTAGAAAAAAAGATCTTCCCAAAAACTTACCTCGAGCCTTGCAACCTCGCGAACGCCGAGTGGCCGCGTGTTAAACTACAAATAGTGAGATAAACAAAGTTAAACAGCCCATGCAGAAAACATTGGACACTACCGAGCGTCACGGCGACCGATAAAGAATCGCACAGATCTATTATATTTTTTTTTCTCAAAAATTCATATGCGTCGAAGATCAAATCGTTAATCGTATTAACAAGCTATGCGAATAATCGATAAACGAATGCAAATGGAAAAAAAAAAGTTGTTTTTTTTTTTTTTTCATTTGTAAGAAACGAGCGATTTTTACGATCGCCGTGCAAGAGGTATGTTTTGGGGAAGCTCGTTCGTTCTTCCTAACCAAAACCACGCTTACTATTAAATACTAATAAACCGTACGCAAAACTTAACAAAAGCACTTTCATACTCTCACGTATTTCTTTATTTTCAGTCTTTCGTTAAGCCGAGTCAAATTTTTCGGATCAACAAAAAATAACTTTCAGGGAAAAAGAAATATAACGATATTGATTGGGTGTATTTAATGGTGCTATATCGTGCAATCTGTGCTGATCCTTTGATCCCTGAACTTTGATCATATTTACAAAAATGTTTGGATCGATAAGGATAGAGATAGATTACGATGAAAAGTATTAAAAAGTCCCGTCATGCATAAACATCGAAAATAAATTTCTTATGTACGTTCCTAAAAACAAAACCGAAATAATTAGTCATCGTACAATAAATTCTATTCGAGATCAAAGGGATTCGACGAGATCATGAACCGAATATTCTTTCAGCCGATTTCCTAGCAATATCCGTAAGAACCTAAGTCAAGTCAATGTGTCAATTTGCGTTCTACAAGGCATCGTATTCTCTCAGTGGAGAGCTTTTAAGGGAGAATGATAAACCAAAGATATTCGCAAAGGTAAACTCACTTAAAAGTAAAAATTCTAAGAAAGAAACTAGAATTATAAAGAAATTCTAGTTAAATCATCTCATCGTTCTTCGATGAATAATTAATTAAACGTTTCATGAGTATGATAAAAAAAAAAAACAAAACAAAAAAAAAATAATGCAAATTCCCAGACATTCGTTTGATATATTGGAGATTGTCTCGACCTCTCTTTCCATTTCAATCATTCTCTCACAAACATCCATCAATCCGAATAATGCTTCTTACTCGATTTCTGTCCCCAAAACCTACCTCATCCACTTGCGGGGGCGGAGTGGTCGCGTTTTGGGTCGTATTTGGTGGTGTTGTAGTGGTGATGGTGGTGGTGGTGGTGATGGTGGTGGTGGTGGTGGCTGGGGCGCCGGACTCGTGAGGGTGTGAATGGGTGCTAGAGAGGGACGCATCCCTTTCGCGCTCCATCGCAAGCTTGTAGACCTTGTTGCGTAGGGTACTTCGTGGTATCCCATAAATCACGGCTGCCCTTCGCGTGCCGAGTTTTCCACTCTGGATGTCCCTTAGGGCGGCCTGTAGTTCCTCCTCGGTGTAAGTCTTCCGGCTGACGCTACCCCCTGCACCCACCACTGCTGCCGCCGCTACAGCCGCCGCTGCTGCCGTCACCGGCACGGCAATACGCGGTTTCGCGCGGTAACACGAGCTGAAACGGAACACCACGTCGTCTATAGACCTTGCTCTTTCGAGGATAAGAACCTATCGATCTCTCTAACATTCGAGTTTCTATCATCCTTTCAACGTGAATTCTACTCAGTGACGGTTCATTTCCGACGATTATGTAACTAGGATTTAGAGAGGGAAAGAGGGAGGAAAAGAGAGAGAGAGAGAGAGCGAAGGGGAGTTGGATCAAACAAGTTTCCAATCTGCCTACGGCAACAGGGCCAAGACTACGGGGTGACCTAACCGTTCGGCTCGCTTTCGTAATCAGATTAATCGTTAAGTTATCCATCCTTTCTTCTCCCACGTGCTTAGATATCTCGTAACTTAACTTGGGATACCTAACTTGTATTAAACGACCATGTGATACTTTATTCCCGTACACGTGTTTATTTGTAATATGTAAATTCTCTTTATAATCGAATTAATTTATCTCGATGCCAATTAACTTCGTACATACGTCTTTTCTCCTTATTCGTAAAAATTTTGACAATTTTGACCGAGGCACCCGTCAAATATCGAATGTCTCGTGAAACAATAAGATAAGATTAACTGCGAGGAACAACAAGCAGATGACGAGACGCTACGATTCGAGCCCCTTTAACAGTAGTACTGAGTTCGTCGACCTGCTGCTTCGTTGTCGCACAGCGGGACAAACAGATAAAAGTGTATTTCGTCCGGCTTGGAAAGCAATGTGACTCGATACAGCTTTTCTGCTGATTCGCGACGAAAGATGACTTTGATTGGCAAAATATGAATTTCTGATGATACCTGTATGTATTCTTAGATTGAAATATTGCCTTCGAATAACCGACGACGAAAAATATCAAAACTATGAGATATTACGGTTTTAGTAAAGTTTCCCCAATTGTTGAGTACTAAATCGGAAATCTGTCAAATTGACATGTTATATGGATCTAATGTTAAACATGCACCTAGTAAAATATATTCCCGTTTTCCTAATATTTTCTTTAGGCTCAAAAAATATCGTACGTTTGACCGAAAAAGAAATATATTCAGACTTCTCTCTGTAAAGTCTAATTTTGACGTGTCACAGTTTCGTCGACGGGCTATCTTATCATTAATTGCGTCGTCAAGCGACCGGGTGCCTCTTTCGCTCTTTCTCTCGCTCCCTCTCTCCCTCTCCTCTCTCTCTCTCTCTCTCTCTCTCTCTCTCTCTCTCTCTCTCTTTCTATGTGGCATACGCGACATAAACGAGGTAGTACTTTACGCTTTCTCGATGTGTCGGGTGAGGTGCAGATTGCGACTGAACTAATAATAGAAGACGATAAAAATTTGACGCGCAAAATGTTCCGCGGGGGAAAAGAGCGAAAACACGAGGGCAACGTACGGCTTTGAGTCGAGTCGCTTTCCCTCCTTTTCTCTCTTGTTCTCTCATGTTACTATTCTTTTACCGACCCTCCTCTCCCCACTTCTCCCTTTCTTTCACGAGAATCTCAACGGATATCGGTGAACGAACGCTCTCAGAGTGAATTCCTTTAAAGTGACTTACTTGAAGATGCTCTTGGAGTCGATACCCGTGGGCATCCTCAGAGGTATTTTCTGTTGTTCCAGGGGAGATATGTTGTTATCCTGTAACGAAAGAAACAAGAATCAATAATCCAGATGATGGATCGGACAAAAAAGAAGAAAGAAAAAAAGAAAGAAAAAAAAAAAAAAAAAAGAAGAAAAAAGAAAGATGAAAGAAAACTCGAGCGGGGTACGGCTCTCACCTGAGAATTTTTCGGTTTCGCCGAGAGATCGAGTGGTTGATCGACCGACGTGGCACTGTCCTGATGAGCCTGTACCCCGACGAGAGGTGCCTCTCTTGGTGGTAAGCACCACTGAGGCAATAAAGTCGGGTAAGTACCGCTGAGAGCGGCCGCGACGACGGACGCCGCCATTGGGTCGACTTGGACCGACATCGGTGACTCCACCGATCGCGAACTACTGCTGCTGTCGCTCTGTGGACTCTGAGGACATCGAACGGATCATTTATATGTATTGTATTTCTCGATGAATTTCTAAGAAGTCGTCTTTCTGAATCTTTTATAAAGCCCGAGTAGTAACGTCAAAGCGATCAAAGTGGATTGAGAGAAGATAGCCTAGCTGGCTAGCTGAGAAAGTTATTGGCAAAGACGTCCATCGCTTTTTCGTATCGCGATATGAAAGTAAATCTTCGCGAGGAGAAGGACTTTCGATTCGACGAACGAGATATCTAAGAAAGGTATGATATCAAAGTGGTTACTTACGAGCGGCGCTTGATCGTCGTGGGGCAGCTTGCCATCTAGGCAGAAGTAACACTTGTCGAGAGGCTTCCAATCTTCCGGCGGTGGACTTGCACGTCGACTCGCTAGAAGAAACGGCGGAACGATAGTTTTCGTCGTGATTTCAGCCTCGTTTGAGATAACACCACAACCACCACCACCAACACCACCACCTCCGGCACCTCCTCCGATTCTTCTGGTCCCTTCCGAATCGGATGCCGGTGTCGTCGTCCTTTCGATTCCTAAACCTGGCACCTCCTGTAATTCCTCTTCTTTTTTTACTCTCAGTAAAGCTTGCGTCACTGGTATCCGTTCCAACGCGAGCTCTCCTGTCCGTTCCTGCATTTCATCAAATAAAAAAAAAAAGAAAAAAAAACGAATCATCAAAAGACAAATTTACTTCGCGTCTATATCAAATATTTCAATAATATTGATTCAGTTTTTAAATCGGACGATTAGCTCATAAATGAATGAACGATTATATGTAGAGTAAATATGTATTTGATACAGTACCTTGGTCCCTTCCGCGTTGTCGTCCGTGCCGTTGGTAGCCGAAAGATTGCGAGACGTTCTTTCTATATCCGTTCTGTGAGGACTGACGGACCTATCGACGTCCTCGTCGAGTTTCAACCGTTTTTCCGGTTCCTCTCGCGTCCTCGAATCCTCCTCCTCGTTTCCTTCCTCCTCCTCTCCTTCCTCCTCTTCCTCGGCGTCGGCTTCCTCTCCGTCGTTTTGTCTTTTCGTTCGACGCCGTCTTCTCGACGAGAGCAGATTCGTCGATGTAACCGATGTAGTTGACGTCGCGACGCACGTTGTCGTCGACGTACTCGTCGTGGTCGTGGTTGTGGTCGTCGTTGCCGTCGTTGTCGTCGTCGTCGACGTCGTCGTCACAGTACCCGTATTCGTCGTTTGCGTCGAGGTCGTACTCGTCGCCAAATCCGCTGTCCTCGCGTTCTCTCGTACGACGATACCACCACCACCACCACCACCACTGACTTCTACGGACTCTTCTTCGTCCGCTTCGATCTTTATTTCCTCCGGTCTCAAACGTCTGGATTCCTCTTGCTGCTGCTGCTGCTGTTGCTTTTGCTGATAAAGCTGATCCTGGGCCAGCAAGGACGGCGTATGGAGATGAGAGTGAGGATGTCGATGATGATGATGATTTTGAGGATGATGCCTCTGAAGAGAAGAGACGTCCTGTTTGAGGTGACCGACCGTGGGTACGACGGTGGCCGTCGTAGCCGTGGCAGCAACCAAGCTCCCAGGCACTCCTGCCACCCCCGTAGCGACCCCCGTCGCTACCCCCGTCGTCACCCCCGTTGCCAGACCCGTCGCTAAACCCGTCGCAAGAACCGTCGTAGCTCCTGCCGGCGTAACGGTTGGCGACGGAGTTGGATGAAGCAGGTGAGCTGGCCCAATCTGGCCCAGATTCCCGAGCACCGGATTGCAAGACGGTGACAACGCCGGGTAAAGCCGATGGAGGGGCTGTGCCGCTGTCGTCGTCGTCGTCGTTGATTCGCTGATGCGCGTGCCGCTGTACAGGGTGTCCTGATATTGCTTCCATCTCCTACGGCCCATCAACTCCTCCGCTACTCGTTCCAGACCTGCGACACCACCGCAACTACATCAAACAATGATGAGCGCTGCTTAATTTCTAGCCCTGCTTATAATAAATCAATGACACCCAAAGATACCGAGAAAATAGATTCCAAAATATTAGGTATGGAGAAACTCGTACACCACTTTTGATGGTTCATCACAAATACCGATAGAGAAAGAGCCAAGAGACCGATAGCGGATATTTTCTTTTAGCGACTCTCTTATCGAAAAACCGAATAGTCGGCGACGTTATCGCGGCGACGTGACGTGTCATGCTGCTGCCAGGATTGAAACGTCGAAAAGCAACAAACTGCAGCGTTGCTTTCGCCTCCATGATAACGGTTATTTAATTGTCATTATGAGACCTTAATAGGATGTGATATTTGTTACTTCCTCTTGCCTTCGGTCTCTTTATCAATGCGGCATAGAGCTTCTAAGATATAATACCTGACAATTAATTTATATTATATTATTATAGTATTTACAATACGAAAATACGGACAATGGTTTTTATTGGAATTCGAATCTGAGCCCCCAATGAATTTTACATACAATCCTTTAATCGTAATTTACATTTTCTAAGATCAATCTAGATAAAGTTTTAAATAACACTTTCTTTTCGTCCTCGAACAAAATCTAATCGATGTTTCCTTGGTAAAACGTTTACCACTAATGCGACAACGTATCGTCTTACATGTATTACTCCCTAGTTCGCTTGATTCCGAATACTCAAGTACAAATCCGCATCACTCCATATGCATCGAAAGAGAGACGCGTGCATACGTAAATGCGCGTGCGCATCGTTTCCTCGTGACGCGACTCTGTGCACACGCATATCTACGCGCATACAAAACTTCCTCGCGTGCACGTGCAGATCGAAGCGATTTTTCATGGCTGCCGCCTTTATTTCTCGCTAAATTGATTTTGTCCTTCTCTCTCTCTCTCTCTCTCTCTCTCTCTCTCTCTCTCTCTTTCCCTCCTTCTCTCTCTCTCTCTCTCTCTCTCTCTCTCTCTATCTCTCTCACTTGTGCGTACGCTTCCATTCCCTCTCTACGAAACATTCGCAGTCATTAAGGGCGGTGTGCCCCTTCGTTGCAGTCATTCCAAATGTAGTAAACTTCGATTTTATTACCAACCCTGAAACCTCTGAAATGCGTGTAAATTCCAAAAAACAAAAAAAAACAAAAAAGAAAATAAAAAAAGAAATGATTCGCGCGATCGGCTTAAATGATGTAATCAAATGGCCAGTAAGAAATGTCAATGAAATCCTATGAATGATTTTTAATTGTGAGAGGTTTAAAAGAAAAGAAAAAAAAAAGAAAAAAAAAAAAAAGAAAAAGAGATGAAAAAGCAATTAAAAATAAAAATATTCAATCAAATTTAATTCTTAAATTTGAGACAACGCGAATAAAAGGATCGATGACGGCAAATAAAAAGGAAGAAAAAGTATGAAATAAAGTCCAACTAACAAGGAGCCTTTCATTAGTAAATTTCTTGCGAATCGAGCGTGCTTTCTATTTCGCGCTAGCTTTAATGCGACCTCGACCTATTCGATGACGAGCCTGTGCTTCCTCTGCCTCTCTCGCTTCTCTCCATCTCGTTCTATCTCACACTTTAACTCTCGTTCTCTTCTCAATACAACGTAAAACATTACTGAACGCCTCCCCGACGAAAGAATAAATGTACGGAAACAACCGTGGAAATCTCCCGTCGATCTCTCGATCGATCTTACGTTTAAAAACATTGCTGCCATCTGTATAAATTTTTTCTTTTCTTTTTTTTTTTTTGTTTTTTCTCTTTTTTCTTTTTTTTTTTCTTTTATAGATCTCAAAGTGATTTCTTTCATTTAATATTCATCTTTCAATAATTAATTCGATTAAAATCAAATGGATTTTTTTTATTCCGTTGAGTTCAATCGAATAAGTTTTGATCGTTACGATATTCGAGACGGACGAAATTTGATGTCGTACTTGGATCGTGTCGACGAGTGTGTTTAGTTATAGACTTGTTTTATTGTAGGAAAAACAAGAGTATATATGTATTGTAAAAATAGTATTTACGAATACTAGAACGAGCATACTCAACAGATAATTTAGCGTCCACCGACTGTTTAGTTTATCGTAATTGAGCGATAACGTTTACAAGCGGCACTTCTTGTGAAAATCGTTCGCTTTTCAAAATGCAATAAACATACGCGGAATGTAATTTTTATCGCGGTTAAACGAGCTACATCGAGGAATCGTCGAGCTCTAATTAAAGAAGAAATGTAAGACACAAACCAAGCATAATGAGTTTATTTATATACTATATTGTAAACATAGTTGTCATCATGGTTGTTTTTTAAATTTAATTATTGTCATTAATCGATCATTTTCAATGATTTATGAAAAAATTATCAATGATATAATACGAAACGATTAGCATCATCGAATCTGTATTTATTTTACATCTTTAGTGTCAATAAAATATTTTATATAATTTATATAAATAAATAAAGATATAATGCATGATTTTTTGCTTCGCAAGAATTAAGTATTTTATACGATATATAACAATAAAAGAAAGTATTTCAGTAAAGTATTCAAAAGTAAATAAAGAAAAAGTCCACAATTTCTTAATGTCAACGTCAACGACAATGATGACGACGACGACGACGACGACGACGACGATCAAGACGATGAAGACGAAGACGATGAAGACGAAGACGACGAAGACGACGACGACGAATTAACGTGTTCGAGTTCGAACGCGCATGGAAAACATCTGAATAAATTATTATTGTTTGTCGAACGTTTCGAACGAATGGCGACGCCCATCGCTCTGACCCATCGCCGACATGCAGGACATTATTTAAACGCTCTACTTCCACGCAGCTTATCAAATACAGGTATAATAGCACTTTACGGAAACGCGAACTGGATCCAACGACGAACGTCGAACGTCATTTCTTGGCCGAGTCGAGTTTCATCGATCGATTTCTAAAGAATTAGGTATTCGCATACTCGAAGAGAGAAGCTCTTATGAGAATGAAAGAAATAAAATGGCTGGTGATTGTAACTTTTTTAAAATGTTCATTAGATTATACAACGATTGTATCATTTTATTCGAAGCTACTTTTTTTTAATTTTATCCCTCCTTTTTATATTCCTTATTTTAAAATTTTATTTGTATTTATTATTTATTTTATTGCCTTTAAAAAATTCCTTTTATTCTAAGATCATTTATTTATCGAAATATAATCGATGATCTTCGTGAGATTTAACAAGGTCTATAGTCATTGCAAATTGGTGAGAAAAAAAAACGTAGCGGTCTTCTTTGAAAACGAGGACGCGTGCGATTCGCTTGCAATTAGCCGAACCGCAGCGCGACAAGAATCTTTTCTAGCCGTAGTCGTGCAAAACCGTACAAACTTCAAGGTTTTTACGATGAATCACGAAAAATCTCAAACCGGGAGAACTCGAGGTTCGACGAAATCACGTTTCACATCAAATTTATCCATTCTTCGGTCGTAATGACGTTCAAGTTTCTATGATGATTATGATTCAGCGACGTTTTCTGTTTAAAAAAAAAAATTCGTCGAAGTTATGCGAAACGGATGAAACGATGAGACCAACAACAAATAGCAATGATGGTTATGTCATTATTATATTTTTGAGAAAAAGATTTACGTCGAATTCATTATTATTAGACTAAAATAAGTGTGGATTTTGAAATTGAATGAACATTAGTAGAACTCTACTATGAAGAATGTGATGTTCAGTGAAATGTTGGTAAAAACTGTTTGCCACAAAATGATTAGTTGATAACCGAAGGATAATGTTTACTGTCTATAAGTTATAATATAAGCTTCACATTATATAATTTTTTTTTATTTTTTTTTTTTTTTTAGACACGAAAAAAAACATTAATTATACAGCATTAACTTTATCTACAAACAAACAATTCTCTTGCCCCTCTAAACCGCAGTTTTATCTTAGCGGTAGCCAATATGTAAATAGGTTTTGTTCATGATCAATTATATAATATTGTTTGCTATAGTATTATATTATGTAATTCTTTCTTTTTCATATATGAAAAAAAAAAAAAAAAAAACATTGAGTACTTTTTTTTTTTTCATGAAAGGAAGTGTAAACTATTATAGAAATTTGTCAAAATTTATATTTCAAAACTTTCCTTTGATTATCGAAAAGGAAAAAATAAAAGAAACAATTATCCGATCGTTGGGAATTTCAATGCAGAGTAAAAAGAACAGGCTCGTAAGAGGCGTTAGATATTCACAAGGCGCGCAAAGTCCGAGTCCTTGATCGATTCTAGAAGTAATTAGACTGCAGGCGCGCCTTCCGATGAAATTCCAAGCAGGGGCTGTCGAATGGCGGCAATCTTATCTCGCGTACCATTTAACAGAGAAGGAAGGAAGGAAGGAAGGAAGCATGGAAGAAATAGAAATAGAACGAATAGCCACGCCCGGGATTAAAGACATTTTCTACAATTAATTTTTATCTCGAATTAGATGAAACGTCTCTTATATATATATATATATATATTTATATGCAATTTCTTTTTCTTTTCATAACAATATAAAATCAATATGTTTGTAAAATCAATAAGTACGTAATACTCTCGAAAAACTCTGATTAGTTTGCAATCGATGACGATTTCATTTTTTACTTGAGAACAATGCCCGACGAATTTTCAACGACATGTTTTACGTCGATAATTAACGCATCTTAGCTCGGTTTCTCACTCCGCGCTTTGCAAAACGAACCGCTAAATTATCGTACGCGTGCCTCGTCATTCTCTTGTACGTTTTCTTTTTTTTCTTTATTTTTTTTTTTTTTTTCCAACACGGTTTTTCGCGTTAGGAGAGAAGAAAAGAGAGGAAAGGTGAAGAAAAAAAGATTAACAACAGCAACGAAACGTAAAAAAGGGAACACGAATGCAATGAGAGAAGAGCTATTATAATGAAATTTATTCTCTAATTAAATATCTCACGTAATAACGCTTT